GGCTAGAGTTGAAAAATCTCATCTTAGAAAGGGGAACTGTCAATTCCATCTGAAAATCAATTAGTAAGAACATGTCTTGATTCATCAAACGTAGGTGCCTACCGCGTGCTCTGTGGTATTCAGCTGAGCCACGGGATCCGGTGAGAATGTGGCCTGGAAGTAAGAGCGGTGGGTAGGATTTGAAATCCAGCTCTAATGTTTACCAACTGAATGCCCCTGAGTTCGTTTTCTGCCCTGGCCAACACATGAAGTATGGTAAATTAAACCTTTTTAAAATATAAGCGGCTACACAGAAGTAGGAAATTTGTCACATGCTTTCCTGGATGCTTTAAACTTATAAGATGGTTCGCTGATTGACATTTTCTGAATCTAAGTTCCATGAAGGCAGGAATGTCCTGTCTTACTTCGTCCCCCAGGACCTTATATGGTGCCACATAGTACTCATAATTGTGCAGCTCTGACTTTATAGATTGCTACCAATACATCCAGAAAGAGACATTTTAAGAAATGTATCAATTAGGTGATGTTTCAATTATATTTGATTCGTCCCAACACTTCATGTTTAGAAGACACATGAAGTTTTTTAAAATTTACGTTAGTACCCTTTCTTAATGGGCTACTTGCTTTTAGAATGTTTTAAGGAGAACAATTCGTTACATTTCTATGATCTTCCCAAGTCCCAGTGTACATATGGTCAAGCATTAGAGCTATTTTAGTGAAACCTATAAGTGGTAACATTTCTATTACATCTGAGAATTTATAAAGCATATTTTTGTATTTGATCCTTACAACTACTTTGTGAGGGAAGTTACTCCTTGTATTCAAGAAATAAAACCAAAGTCAGGGAATCATCACTGTCACTCTTAGTTTCATATCCAATAATTTAGCTGCAAATTATTTCATACATCCCTTATGTTTGACAAGAATCAAATGATCTTCAACAAGTTACCTGCATATTCACAACTTCGTAATTACTATACCTTATCTTACATTAAAAAAAAAAATGAGACCTTAGTGTTTCCAGGATCAGAATTAAGTATTTCCTTTGAGAAAATACAAAAACACATTACCTCATCCAGGACCAACGTGACGATGATACACATTTACACATGAAGATGACGCCATGAGGTGTTTTCTCCAATGGGAGGAGGAAGGATGTGAATTATTGCAGCCCCATTCCGTCCCTGGGTCCCATCTGAAATGCCTGCGGCCAGGAATGGGCTTGTGGGGGTGGAGATACGGACTCACCAGACACCTAGCCTACAACTCTGGCTTTAGCGAAGGCCACAACGTCCAAACCAAATGATCCGACTTCCTTCTAAAACAGCAATTTACAAAAATGTTTACTGAAAGTTTAAAACGGCTTATTTTCAGAGTTACCGAGTTACATCAAGATAGCAGCGGAGTTCCTAACAAAGTCTTACTATAATCACAATATCGTTATCTTTGGTTGAAATCATGTAGTAGAAATTCGGGCGGTCAACTTCAAAAAAGGTTAAGAACCCTGTAGTTAGTTACCATGGAGTCATTACATTACAAATAAAAAAAGATAATTTTAGGCACTTGCATGGATGCCAACATCTGCTTGGAATGCACACTTTTCAAATCGAGAGAGTGTTTGGATATTTCTGAGACACATAATAAAGCTTTCACCCCACACATTAATTTGTTAGGATATTCCAACATGCTATTTGTCTTGGCAACTTGTGATTTCGAAACCCAACAGAAGATAACTTGGAATATTTCCTTTTGTATATAGTTTGGAACATCTGGTCTGAAAAGGCAGAGACTTCTGATTTCTAGAGAACAACGCGAGCCATCCTGAGGGAATAGCCTCCTTCTGACCTGAGGTCACACAGGTGACCAACAGAGTGTGCTCATTCCAGTGGCCTTAGATCTTGAGATTTTAGAACCTTCAGATTTTCCAATTTAGAATCATATCTTAGACCCTTCAGAGGGTACCGTGAATCGGAAAATCCCACAAATCTGCAGCTCAAGACTGCTGAAAACAAAACGGGGGTGGAGTGGGGTGGCGAGGGAAGAACGGATACAGATTTATTTTATTTCTCCCATTTTGTACTCTTCTGTTCCCCAAGGGCCCAAGCAGGGGACAAAGTTTGAGATCAAAAGGGCAGCCTGGATTTAGAAGACCGGGTTGATTCTTCCTTCCCTCTCCTCCCACACCAGCAAGGTCTGCCTGCCGATTCAGGGCAGAAATGCAGACACCCTCAGTGTCCACTTCCTCTCGCTGTTCTGGACTGCCACCCACGTTTGCAAGCTGGCCCAGGAATTCAAAGTCCCTTAACCCACAAAAACCCATTCCTTTACAACTCCTAACTTCCCAATTCCAGCAGCCTATCAACATGAGGTAGTATCCTTTTTTGGTTTGGTTTTTTTTTTTTTTTTTGTAGTTGACAATGTTGTATTAGTTTCAGGTGTACAATATCGATGTTTGACCCTTCCATACATTACCCAACGTGCACTCCCGTTGAGTGTGGTTACCATCTGTCACCATTATTTCAGTATTATTGACCGTATTCCCTGTGCTTAAGGGTTATTTCGTTTCTCTGATTACAGCAATCGATATTAAGCATGAACGAGATTCAATCCTTGGTAGGAGCTTTCATCTTTAAAAAAAAATTTTTTTTAATGCTTTATTTTTGAGAGAGAAACAGAGCATGAGCGGGGAAGGGGCAGAGAGAGAGAGGGAGACACAATCCGAACCAGGCTCCAGGCTCTGAGCTGACAGCACAGAGCCCGACGCGGGGCTCGAGCTCACAGACCACGAGATCATGACCTGAGCTGAAATCAAGAGTCAGACGCCCCGACCGACGGAGCCACCCAGGCGCCCCAGGAGTTTTCATCTTAAAGTGGATGCTGATGCCCTGATACGGTAGAATGAGCAATGGATCTAGGGTTTTAGGGCCCTGCTAATCTATATATAGCTCTGCCTCTCATTAGATGTATTTGCTCCATTTCAAAATAGAAATGCCTCTTCACACTACTGTTGTAGGAGTGAAATAAGATCATACAAGTGGAGGTTCTAGTGAACTTACAGTATGGCACCTAACAACAGATATTAGATGAATTTCAGTCTCTGGTAGGAAGTATAAGAAAGCGTATGCAGGGGGAAGGCAAGAGAAGCTAGCTTCTCATGTAAAACTTTCAGCTTCTGCCCTCAAATTCATTTCCCTCCAGCCCAGCCTCTAAGGAAATAGTAAACACGAAATATCGGCAACGCAGGTGAATACTACCCGAGGGCCCGTCTCGCCTTCCCCTTTTCTGAAAGCATCTCGGCACCTTATTGAGGTTCGGCAAAAAGAAAGAAGAACGTGAATTACGAAGTGAACCACAGATATCCGGAACCTGCAATCACAAATCCATATATTTGGAAACTAAACTCGTGGAGTTATTTTTAACCTGAGCGGGAGGGAGGTTGACTGGGTGATGACATGAACGCACAGTATGTCAAACAGGAAGACTAAAAGTTCCCCGGTGCTTGTAAAGAACCGGGCACTGATATGGCATGGTACACACAAAGGTATATTATCACTCCGGGGGGCACAACGTTCATCCCCAGTGATCCCACGTATGTATCCATCAGAACATACATATGATCGGTTAAAGGCGGCTTTGATTAATGCCCGCATGAAGGAAAAATTATTAGCAAGCAGATCACAATGGAAATGCTGCCCGATTCTCAAGCCCTCGAGTAAAACGCCGCCCTCGAGGACATTGTCGCATAACTTCATTTATTTGTCATTAGGCCACCAGCCACCCCGCTTAATTAAGGTAGAGATTTGTACTTATAAAAAATTGTTCAAAAAGATATATTTTTAAAATGTTTATTTCTTTGGGGGTGGAGAGAGAGCACACACACACAAGTGGGGGAGGGGCAGAGAGAGAGAGAGAGAGAGAGAGAGAATCCCAAGCAGGCTCTGTGCTATCAGAGTCCAACCAACATAGGACCTGATCCCACGAACTGTTAAGATCATGACCTGAGCTGAAATCAAGAGTCAGAGGCCCAACTGACTGAGACGCCCCTCAAAAAGATTTCTATCCAACATTCCCTCATCTTTCTCCTGGAGGAAACCCGGTTTAGGTGTGACCCAGGCCCGGTAGATTAGGGTACCCCACGTCCCACGTCCGTGTTGTTTGGGGACTCACATGTGATCCAAGCCCAACCAGAGTCCTCTCCATGCTGCTCCTGTCATACCTATGGGCAAGGACACCTTTCCTTCCCTTTGTGGTTGCGGGCAGCCGTCTTAACAACTGTGTGGAGTGATCACGCGCCCTAATGGCATTGTTTGCCTCACCGAGCGCAGCTGACTGAACCTGATCGGATCTGCTCTAGAACTTCTTGGTTTGTGAGCCCCTGTTTTCTTCTTTGGCTGGAGCTTTTTTGGATTCGGTAACTTTCAGACTGTATTCAAGAGACCCAAGCGTAAGAAAATTATAGCCACCACTAACGAATCTGAGTTAGCTAATGTTCCACACGCACCAGGCTTATTATTGATAGGCGGCAAGACTGTTTTCTCAATAAGAAAACTTGAAGTCAACGAATATCCTCCAGAGACTTCGAGGGAAGTCGATGGTGATGTCACTGTCACCACTATAAGTTTGGTTTTGCTAGCAAAAGCTTCCCCATGCCTTAAAACAAAGAAGTCACAGGCACAACATTCACAGGATTATTTTACTAGAATTTACGGGGGAGAGGATGATGTTGTCCAATTTGCACAGAGTAAATCTTCAGGTTGAACTCCTGCCAAATACAGGAAAATTCAAGTTCTTGTTTCAGTCTCAACTGGCCTGGGTATGGAAGCAATGCCCGCTTCTCCTGGTACGCGTGAGTCAAACTGTCGGTTATGTCTCCACCTTTTCGTGACCCTTAACTCTCTGCGTCAAGGCTCAGCGACCCCAGACACGAATTCTGGAAAAACTTCTTCCATTTCTATGGTTTTCCTCATCCATCTGAGGATGTTGCCGGCTATCACAGAACTTCACCAACCATACGCTCTGGTCCATACGGCTTTCTTCTTAAACTCTGGGAGAATTCTCAAGGACAGCAGGGTGGCTAAGGGGACAAAAAAAGTGAAGTGTGCTGTTGCATGTGGTGAAATGCATCCAAAAAGGTCATTTGCTTACTTATTTTTAACTGTTTGTTTATTTGAGAGAAGGCACGTGTGTGAGCAGAAGAGGGGAAGGAGGGAGAGAATCCCAAGCAGGCTCCAGGCTCAGTGCAGAGCCTGACACAGAGCTCGATCTCACAACCTCAAGGTCACAACCTGAGCCAATATCAAGAGTCGGAGGCCTAACTGACTGAGCCACCCAGGTGCCCCTGAAAAGGTCATTTAGATAAAAAAATGTGTCAGAACAGAACTTTGCTTTTTCTTACTTGGCTAAATCTTTAAGACTAAGCAAGCCTTAGGCAGAATTTTAATAGTAGAAAGCCTTTAATAAAAGCTGGGGAAAAGGTTGTGTTTTTTTTAATTGTTATTTAAGTTATTCTGGAACCAGTTAACAGGAAATTCTGCAGATTTAACCAAAACTGACTTCTGGGATGCCACTGTTTTTTGTTTTTTTTTTTCTTTATCTCATGATGATTACATAGGTGTGTTCCCTTTGTAAAAAACCTGCTTATGATTTGTACACTTTTCTACATGAATATGATTTTTCCATTACATGTTCAGTTAAAAGGTAAAAGACAGAAATAAAATACTGGTCCTGTGATGAAGTTATTAGGTTCATGTGCTCAATGGAACAAGCCTGACTGTACTAATCTGTATGTGACTATGTACCCACAAGTCTATACCTTTTCTTATTTGTCATGGGTCTCTCAGGGATCAATTTCAAGTAGGAAAGTTCTATGTAATTCCTCTAGGTAACTTACTATAGATCTTATTTTAGGATATTAATATAAATATATTGAGATATTATTTAAAATATAATAGTATGAGGCTTATTATAGATCTTATTTTGGGATATTAACATAAATATATTGAGCTGTTATTTAAAATATAATAGTGTGAGGAAATGTAGGTAAGCCAGAGTTACACAATTCTTGTGTGTGACTCTAATAAGCCCTTGACTATATAATCAAGTGAACATGTACTTCTTCCTTGACCCAAATAACTATTTTCCTCATCCATATCAAGGTGTTTGTTATCTTCATGACCTAAAACAGTGTATGTTTGGAGGAGCCAATGGTATTAGGGACCCATGGTCATTAAGCATGAGTTTAAACTCCTTGAGGCAAACAAATGGGGGAAATCCTAGCAAGTCTCTAGGGACGGATCGAGTGAACGTATGTCGACCACTGCCCTTATTCTCAGTGAAGTTCTGTGGTTGATCACAATCCTCTTCCTATACATGCCCTCTGCCTATGCTGGGGGTAGGGAGAAGGATCAGAACCAAGAGATTAGGGAATTCTTACTTGTTTGGCAACCAAGAAATTATACCCTACTTAGAGAAAAGGACGGTCATACTATAACCATTATCAGGCTGGACAGATAAGATTATCACAAGTGTAGGCCGACAGGTGGTTTTCCCAAGATGAGACCTTCTAGTGCAATATCTTACAGCATGTCAGAGGCCATATCAACAGCAGCCATTGGTTGGACCAGACCCCTGAGTCCTAAGACACAGATGACAATACAAGGTATTTCAGGCCACAGAACCAACACCCAAAAGACTTCTCAGATTTGAGTAAAATAATATACATAATTTTCACATGAAGATATTCTGTATTTGTGGTTCCTATAGTCATAGTTTAACAAATCAATAGAGAAGTATAAAAAACACAAAAACCTATTTAAATGCCTGAAAGGTTAAAGTGCTTTAAAAGATGATTTTTAAATAAAAAAGGCAGTGTGCTCAAAGTGTCTATGTGTATTTTTCAGGTGCTTATGATTACAAACATGTTAGAACAACACTCATACGCAGAGAGGGCGAAAACTTCTCAGGAAAAAATATCAAAATTGCCATTGGGCAATGGGACTCTGGATTCCTCGTTGCTCTTTTCTGCATTTCCTAAAATTAATTAAAGTGATCTTTTGCCATTAGAATAAAACATTTAAAAGCTATTTAGATAAAAGTTAAATTTAAAGGCATGGAGCTCTGTTTAAATCCACTTTCTAATTCAAAATGCCACACGACGACGGCTCCAGACTACTTTTCTAAACTGAGTTCAGATGAGCCTTTCAGGGACCAATATATACTAGGATGTGGTTTCTGCAGCAGAGACAACCATGGATGGCTTTCATCTATGCTGGGCATGTAGTATGGAAGTAATACCTTTCAAAAGATCCCTGGATTTGGCTGAGAGGCCTTCTTTGGGGCTTTCCATGATGCTGAAGAGCCAGTCAATGAACTAGGGTGAAGAGAAAAGAGCAGGATCAGTGAAGACAGTCCCACTAATAGCAAGAGGCCAGTTGGGGCCCTTTGGCCTGCATCCATGCATATCAGTGCAGGAGCTCTGAGGTAAATACCGACCTGAGCCGGAGGAGTGGAGAGGAGAAGGGGACCAGGCATAAGAGACGGAGAAGTTGGACACAGCCACCATTTAGTCCAATGGCCCAGCAAAGTCAAATCTCCTTCCCCTGCTAAACATCCTGAGATCTACTATAGATTTTTAACTGTGAGGTAAACACGGGTCCAGAGGTCTCTTGTGTGCCATGAACTTTCTCTCTCATCACTCTGAGAGCACCAGGGAGGTTAAGAACCTTGCCCAAGTCCACTCCCAATGAACAGCAGAATCCAGACTTGAACCCAACTGCACCTGACTTCAGAGCCTCACGTTCCTTCTCTGCGTCATGCTGCCTGATTCCGCGTGCATCTAGGCCCAGACTCGTAGGGCAGGTGGTAAATAGGGAAACACATCAGACAGAAGCCTCTGTTTCTAACATAAGACATTCTGTAGATGAGAACAATCTGTGCCCAAATGGATACAAAACATGATGTTGAAATCCAAGAGAAAGGCATAAAATAATTTACTAGATAGAGCCAAATGTGTTAACTGCAAATAAATCCTGCAAATGAGGTAGAAACTCAGACTACTCACGAGTTTGACTGATTTCCCAGGGTAAAGACAAAATTGGTTTTGAATTAGATACAAGGTAATTTCATTAATGACTGAACGTTGTCAATCTTGACTCATGAAAAACACACACATTAGTCACGGGTACCGGGTATTTTAACTCTGGACATAGAAACTGGTTTGAAGAAAGAGTAAAACCGAAAGAAAATATTCCTAATTCTCTGCTTTAATTAAATTAAATTTTTTTCCCCTTCTTCTTCTCAATTTTGTTTTTTAATATCCTACTGGTAAGTAAATAAATCAAGCACTACACATACATAATAGATGCAAGATGTCTACATTGTAGTCCAAAGTGATGATGGTGTCCGGGGCCAGAAAAAACATGAGGGGATTCCACACTTAAAAATTTGTTTTGATTTAAAATTAAATGGAAAACATAACATTTGGGACAATACTAATGCTTAAGAAAACAAAGGCATTTTAATTGAGATGCTCAGCGGAGTTGCGCACGGCTAACCTGTGGGTCCGTAGTTCAGATATATTTTTAAAGACTAACGTTCAGATTTTTAACAGTAAGCTACATAAAGTTGGCTTTAAGCTTTCAACTTCGCAGAAATCCAGTTTTCATTAAATGGGATTCAAAGAAGAATCTTTCAATCAACTGTATTAAAGACAGTTCAGAGCCATTTCATGAGAAGCACAGGAAGCACGGTATTTTCAGATGCTCCGCACGACGGCTAAGAGCCCGGGGTAACTCGACATTAAAAACCAAATGGTGCTTCCTACAGTCTGATTTTCCTGGGGGCAAGGGTGATGACCTTTTCAAATTTCCCCATGTCACCTAGCACAGGCCAGGAGCATGACGGGCCCCTGGAATGTGGCTGTAGGATGGCACGAGCTATGAGGAACCTTAAATATGCTACAAGAACACGGACACTCCAGATTCCCGTTTCCCCGACCCAACCCCCAGGCATGGTTGGTCATTCCCTCCATTATCCACCGCCACTGTATTCTCCTTATGCAATCTTGCAGCCTTGAACTTGCCTTCCCGTCTGTCCTCCCTCTGACATTCTGAACGCTCAGGGACTTACTCATCCCGTCACCCCCAGGATCAAGAACACATGTGCCTTTAATAACGGAAGGCAAGTAAAAGCTCCTCTTTCTGCCTCACCTCCAACTGTAAGCAAGTTATTGCTCTTGTCTTTGTTGCTGTTTTCAGCCAGCAGTTAGCCTCACTCTCTGAGGCGGAGTATGAAAACCCGTGGTGTGATGCCCACTTCACTTTAACTCCCAACCTCAGTTCTACTGTAGAAATTGCTAAGGAGAAAATGGCCATCAGGGCGGGCGGCTGCGAACCTCACCTTCTGGGTCTGTTCCTTCCATGGCTCTTTCTGCAGCAGAATAGGCATGCTACTGGGAAGGAGAGTGAGAGTCTCCTGCAGAGTGACCCTGTGCATTGGACTCCTGCCAAGGAAGCTCGAAGCTGACCCAGCTGGGCCATTTTCCTGGTGCCATGGCAACCAACTGGCACTAAGGCCAAGGAGGAGAGGGGCCGCGTGGTCTGCCCATGCAACCACTGCGATTGCAAATATCAGCAACAAGAAGTCCAAAGCCTACAAAGGAAATAGACACAAGGTTAGGTCACACGTTTTAACAATTTAAAGTAACGCATGTACACATACACAGCCCCTATCACGACGCAGTGTTACCTTCCCCTTTACCCCAGAAGAGGAACCAGACTGAACGGCAAACTCCATTTCCACACTTAATAGACATTCTAGGATTTTGGAAGGTTTTAGGGATCCTCTTTTTTAAGACAGTTTCATTATTATTGCTCTAATAATGCAGGGGAACGTTATTTAATTCCTCATCATATTGAGATCCAGACACTCCTCTGTTTTGGGGTTTCCAAAGAGACTAAAGAATTCATTAGGAGGGATACGGAAAGGGATATTTAGATTCATTGTTACGTAGCCCCAAGTGAGTTTTAGAAAAACGTACAGTCTGATTCTATTTTGAACAACAAATGACTCTCCACATGTATCTTATTTTTCTGTTCTCGATATTTAAATATTTGAGTGGCAAACACTTGATTTTGTTCCATGAATGCTGAAAATATAAGCATTAAGACAAAATAAAAACAAGCATTCTTGGCGGGAGACACAACAAATCATTAGGCACTTTTTAAAACATATTTTTGAGTATTAGCAGACATGAAATGAAATACACTCCCCAAACTCTCGATCCTGACCTACATCTATAATCCCAAGGTTTTTTTTTTTTTTTTTCTTTTCAATTTTACTTCCAGTGTAGTTAACATTCAGTGTTCTATTAGTTTCAGGTGTGCAATATAGTGACTCAACACTTCCGTGTATTACTCGGTGCTTATCAAGCTAAGTGTACTCTTGAATCCCATACACCTATTTCACCCATTCCCCGGCCCATCTCCCCTCTGGTAACCATGTGTTTGTTGTCTATAGTTAAGAGTCTGGTTTTTTTGGTTGCTTCTTTCCCGCCCCTGTTTTGTTTTGTTTCTTAAATTCCACATAGAGTGAAATCATATGGTGTTTGTCTTTCTCTGACTGGCTTATTTTGCTTAGCACTGTACTCTCTAGATCCATCCATGTTGTTGCAAATGGCAAGATTTCATTTTTTCTTATGGCTGAATAATATTCCATTGTGTGTGTGTGTGTGTGTGTGTATGTATGTGCATATGTATGTGTATATATTTATGTGTATATGTATACATATATATGTACACATACATACACACACACACACACACCACACCTTCTTTATCCATTCATCTACTGATAGACACGTGGGCTGCTTCCATACTTTGGCTATTGCAAATAATGCCTCAGTGAACACAGGAGCACTTATATCGCTTTAAATTAGTATTTTTGTATTCTTTGGGTAAATACCCAGTGATGTGATTGTGATTACTGGATCATAGGGCAGTTCTATTTTTAATTTTTTGAGGAACCTCCACACCATCTTCCACAGTGGCTGCACCAGTGTGCATTCCCATCAACAGTGAAAGGATTCTCCGTATCCTCACCAGCATCTGTTGTTTCTGGAGGTTTTGATTTTAGCCATTCTGACAGGAATGAGGTGATATCACCTTGTGGGTTTGATTTTCATATCTCTGATGATGACTGATACTGAGAATCTTTTTATGGGTCCGTTGGCCATGCGGATGTCTTCTTTGGAGAAATGTCTCTTTTATGTTTTCTGTCCATTTTTTAATTGGATTGTTTGGGGGTTTTTGATGTTGAGCTGTAGAAGTTCTTTATATATTTCGGATACTAACCTCTTGTGGGCTAGGTCATTTATAGATATCTTCTCCCATTAAGTAGGTTGATGATTAGTTTTTGTTAACTGTTTCCTTTGCTGTGCAGAAGCTTTTTATTTTGATGTAGTCCCAATAGTTTATTTTTGCTTTTGTTTCCCTTGCCTCAGGAGACATATCTAGAAAGATGTTGCTATGGCTACTATGAGAGAAATTACTGCCTGCGCTCTCTTGTAGGATTTTAATGGTTTCAGGTCTCACATTTAGGTCCTCAATCCATTTTGAGTTTATTTTTGTGTATGATATAAGAAAGCGGACCAGTTTCATTCTTTCGCATATTGCTGTCCAGTTTTCCCAACACCATTTGTTGACGACACTTTTTCCCAGTGCATATTCCTGCCTCCTTTGTTGAAGATTGACTGACCATATAATTGTGGGTTTATTTCTGGGCTGTCTGTTCCATTCCATTGATCTATGTGTCTGTTTTTGTGCCAATACCATACTGTTCTGTAATTATAGCTTTGTAATGTAACTTGAAGTCTGAAATTGTGATATCTCTGTGATATCTTCTGTGGTTCCATAAAAATTTTAGGATTGTTTGTTCTAGTTCTGTGAAAAATGCTGTTGGTATTTTGAGAGGGATTGCATTAAATCTGTAGATTGCTTTGGGTAGTATGGACATTTTAAAAATATTTGTTCTTACAATCCACGCACATGGAATGTCCTTCCATTTCTTTTTATCATTTTCATTTTTTTCATCAATGTTTTATAGTTTTCAGATTACAAGTCTTTCAGTTCCTTGGTTAAGTTTATTCCTAGGTATTTTGTTATCATTGGTGCAATTGCAAATGGGATTGTTTCTTAATTTCTCTTTCTGCTGCTTCATTATCAGTGTATAAAAATGTAACAGGTTTTTGTATTGATTTTGTATCCTGCAACTTTACTGAATTCACTTATCAGTTCTAGCAGTTTTTGGATGGAGTCTTTTGGGTATTGTATATACAGTATCATGTCATCTACAAAATGTGAAAGTTTGACTTCTTCCTTACTGATCTGGATGCCTTTTATTTTTTTGCTGACTGCTGTGGCTCTCAGTTTTTCCCCACTGAGTATGATGTTAGCTGTGGGTTTTTTATATGTGGCTTTCTTATGTCAAGGTATGTTCCCTCTGAACCCATTTCGCTCTAAATCCATTTTGTTGAGTTCTTTTTTTTTTTTTAATCATGAATGGATGTTGTATTTTGTCAAATGCTTTTAGGCATCTATTGAAAGGATCATAAGGTTTTTATCCTTTCTCTTTTTGACATCTTGTACCATGTTTGATTTGCAAATACTGAACCCCCCTTCCATCACAGGAATGAATCCCACTTGACTGTGGTGAATGATTTTTTTAATGTATTGTTGGATTCAGTTTGCTAATATTTTGTTGAGAATTTTTATATCTATGTGTATCAGAGATATGCAAAGTTTCTACTGAAAAATCTGCTGATAGCCTTCTGGGGTTTCTCTTGCACATAATTGTCTTCTTTTCCCTTGCTGCTTTTAAAATTCTCTCTTAATCGCCACCTTTTGCCATTTTGATTACTTTGTGTCTTGGTGTGGACCTCCTTGGATTGATTTTGTTGGGAGCTCTTTGTGTTCCTGTATCTGAATTTCTGTTTCCTTCTCCAGATTCGCAAAGATTTCAGCTATTTAAAAACAAATTTTTTTAAAATGTTTATTTATTTTTGAGAGAGAGAGACAGTGCACGAGCAGGGAAGGGAGGGGCAGAGAGAGAGGGAGACACAGAATCTGAAGCAGACTCTAGGCTCTGGACTGTTAGCACCGAGCCCGATGTGAGGCTTGAACCCACGAACTGTGAGATCATGACTTGAGCTGAAGTCGGATGCTCAACCAACTGAGCCACCCAGGTGCCCCAGCTATTATTTCTTCAAATAAAGTTTCTTCCCCCTTTTCTCTCTTCTTCTGGGATCCCTATAATGCAAAAGTTATTACACTTGATGGAGTCACTGAGTTTCCGAAGTCTGTTCCCATTTTGCCTAATTTTTTTCTTCTCTCCTGCTCAGCTTGATTACTTTCCATTACTCTTTCCTCCAGGTTGTGGACTCATTCTTCCACTGCCTCTCTAGTCTGCTATTTATTCCATCCAGTGTATTTTTAATTTCATTTATCATGTTCATCATCTGTGATTGGTTCTTCTTTATCTCTTTATTAAGGGTGTCACTGGGGCGCCTGGGTGGCTCAGTCGGTTAAGTGGCTGACTTTGGCTCAAGTCATGATCTCACAGTTTGTGAGTTCGAGACCCGCATCGGGCTCTGTGCTGACAGCTCAGAGCCTGGAGCCTGCTTCAGATTCTGTGTCTCCCCCTCTCTCTACCCTTCCCCTGCCCATGTTCTGTGTCTCTCGATAATAATAAACATTAAAAACAATTTTTTTTAAAAAAGGGTGTCACTGATGTCGTCCACTCTTCTTTAAAGGCCAGTGAGTATAATCATTACTTTAAATTCTCTATCTGGCATATTTATCTGTTTCACTTAGGACTCTTGCTGTGGTTCTTATTCTTTCAGTTGAGACGCATTCTTCAGTCTCCTCATTTTGTCTAACTCTCTGTGTCTGTTTCTGTATGTTAGGAAAGTCAGCGATGTCTCCTGCTCTTGAAAGTAGTGGCCTTATGAAGAAGAGGTCCTGTACACTCTGCAGGGCAGTTTTCCCCATTTACCGGAACCTGGTGCTTCCGAGGTATCTCCTATGTGTGTTGTGTGCACCCTGCTGTTGTCCCTTGACTGCTTTTTCCTTCAGTCCAGTCGTCTTCGGTGGGTCTCTTTGCCTGTCACTGGCAGCGTTTGGTCCCTGTAGTGTCTGTGGGCCAGTCCCGTGCTGCTTTGGGCTTCAGTTGAGTCAGACTAGGCATTTGCCAGAGATGCAGGGGCACCAAACTGCAGAGCACTTTCCTTGTGTCTTCCGTCTCCCAAGAAGCTTCTTTGGTTGACGCGCAGGGCCAGCAATCAGACCAGTCGTCTGCCCCCAGCCCATAGGTGGGGCAACAAGCTGACTGGCGTGTGTGGCTATCTTTCTCGCTCTCTCTCCAAGGCAGGAGTCGCTTTGGAGTGGCACTGCTCCCTGTCAGGGCCGCTTGCACACTTCCAGGCGGGTGGCTTCGTTTTGAGTGGGCTCTGGCCAAGAGCTTACTGGAGGAGGTGGATCTGCAACGGGCTCGGGAGGGCGATGCGCAAAGCCCCCCCAAGACGTGTGCGCCAGGGTGAGGGGACATGCCACCGCATCTGGGGCCACAGTGGACGGGCACGGTCTGCAAAGCGTTCAGGGGTAGGGCATGGCAGTTGGACCCAAAGGCGCTCGGGTTTGCTGTGAAAGGAGACCTACCGCCACCACGGGGTCAGCCCGTGCGGATCTGCAAAGAGCGGGTGGGCGGGCCACCCAGTTTCAGCAAAGTGCGTGCCCGGCTTCCACGGAGGGTACCTGCCGCCGCCACCGCTGCCAAGGCCCCGCAAAGCGTGGGTCGGCAAAGTTTGAGCAGGTCTGGGGAAGG